AAATTTTTGTCGCTAACGGCACTGATTTTTCCGGCAGATGCTTCTAGCTAAAAGAATTTCAGACTACTCATCAGGACTGTTCGGAAACATTCCTTCAAAATTCCAGTCTTCTAGCTTCCCAGATTCCCGAGTTACCCGGAAAAAATTTTGGCGGGCCCGCACGTGGGTACCATGCTTATCGGGGGCTGGGCTTGAGCTCATTAATACCTACTTAGACGGGGAACGTCGCCTTAAAATTTCAGCCTTCCAGTACTTCTGGGTCACGAGTTAGCAGATTACCCACAAAAAACTCTGGCGGGCTCCTGCGTGGATACCACGCGGGTAAGAGCGCCCATTTTGGGAATGGGGGTCCGCACATGCATGTAGATTAAGTTCCCAAAATCTCAGCCCCGTAGCTTTTGTAAGTCTCGGGATGAAAAATCGGTACAGACGAACACACACACACACACACATACACAGACAACTCCTTGTCAATATGCGTTTTCTGCATTACATAGCTGCAAAAAAAGCATGAAAAAAAAAGTTGCTTTCAGAGGTGTAAACTTCGGATTTGTGCCTGCAATATAGGGCACCAAATCAAAAATAAATGGTAACACGCACCAAACTAGCCGGTGCGATCATGCTTTTTGTGCAATTCAGCCGATCGAACGATTGCCTGTTAATGGTTTTCACTGCTTTGTACTTTAGTCTATGCAAAAATAGTTCAAAAATTGGAAAACAATTAAAAATTTCACGCACCAGCGTATGAAGGCTAAACTCGAAACCTTGAAGGATGAATATCTTTCCGTGAGAGTTAATAGTTTATCAGACAAAATTTTCACTAGGCCGAAGGTGGTAACCGAGAGCGCGAAAACGCTGAATTTGAATGGGCAAGGTTGAGCGTGGACAGAGGGTCATTATTCTTAAATTTCAGCCTCCTAGACTCCGTGGTTCCCGAGATATTAACCTACCCGTGACTTACCCGTGGAAAACTTTCACGGGGCCGTACGTGTTACCCGCGGGTAAGGGAAGG